GGGGGTTGTCGGGCCCGCCAGCCTGTGCCCGCAGCCTGCGCCCTGCTGCCGCTCTCCTGTCGGCCCTGGGAGCGCTCTGCACAGGATGGAGGAAGAAAGTCATCAGCCAGGCTCCTTGTGGCTGATAAATTTTCCTTGCAAAACCGCTCCTGCGTCAGCTTTATCTTACATAAATGAAATCTTTGTATCACCGCGTTTTTAAGAAACTTTTCGAAAACTAAACATCCCTCAAAAACAAACACGTGCAGCTTAGTTCTGTATGTTTCCACTGAAGAACCGAGTTTGGCTTTTAGATCAGAAAGTGATAAGGATTGTGGCTGTAACTGCCTTTTGTTAGCTAATTGTAGATGATGTCTCTATAGGAATTACATAAATGGTGTGCATTTCTTTGGGGGAGATGTGGGACGAGAGGTAAATTCTCCTAACAGTTTGAATACAGAAACAAACCCAAATTCAGATTTTGCTCTTCTGTAGCTCTCTAGTGAGCACAAACAGGAATGTATTTTTAAGGGACGTTTCATGGAGGACGCCAGTATTTGCTGCTTACTAGCATTGTGGCAGCTTAATGTAGATTCAGCTTTACTACTAACTCCGAACAAGGTGTTTGAGGCTAAGATACTAAGCAATGTTTGCCATAATACTAGTCAGACTGCTGCATGCTTTGAGGTACCTGATGGGTGTATCATGTTAGAGTGTTGACAGAGCCCAACGTATCTGGGGCATCTGTCTTCCAGCATCAAAGCAGGCAGAAGTCAATTAAAGATAAAAATTAAAAATAGTGAGTTTTGTTGACCTTTCATGGCTGCTTTTACTGCCACTTGTAAAGAAATTGTGGTTAATTCATTTAACCAGTTTAATGAGGTTATGTTTGAGAATTAGCTGGTTTAGTTAACCTTTTTTCTTCAAAATGTATGTTATGCTACAATTGCTTTTTTTATCATTTGCTTTATCCTTGCTTGCAGATTTTCTTTATTATTCTCTGTAGCATGTTAGTTTCAGCCTCTGACTGTGCAATTCTTACTCTTCTGTAGGTCTGAGCAGCCTCGTATAACCAAAGATGTAATTTGTTTTCATGCTGAAGACTTCTTAGAGGTAGTTCAGCGAATGCAATTAGATTTGCATGAGCCTCCACTCTCACAGGTAAGCATGCTATGAACTGTTGATCAGGTGTCCTTTTAGGCCTAAATCAGAATATTCACCCTTTTTTTTCTTTTTTTTTTTTCCCCACTTCCCTTTTTTCCTCCAGTGTGTCCAGTGGGTTGATGATGCAAAACTTAATCAACTGCGAAGGGAAGGCATTCGATATGCCAGAATTCAGTTATTTGATAATGACATTTATTTTATCCCAAGGAATGTTGTGCACCAGTTCAAAACAGTTTCAGCTGTGTGCAGTTTGGCTTGGCACATCCGGCTCAAGCTATATCATTCAGAGGAAGAACTTTCTCAAAATACAAGTACTGTTGAAGCAGGTACCTCTGCAGACCCCAAGTCTTCGGTTATTGGACTTCAGACTGACAGCAGAATTTGTACAATGAGCAAAAATACCTCCGAAGACACCAAATTTTCAGATGCTCTGCAGATGAAGTATCTGCAGCAGGAATTTATGTCGATAAAACATGAACCTATTGCATCTCACCGAATAAAAGAAGAACCCATGAATGTTGATCTTGCTGAAAAGACAGTGGCACCTAATGACGTCGGGGGCCAGAATGTTCAGACTAGGTTGGATCACGTTGAATTGACGGCATTTAAGTTGGAGGTGGATTCTAAATTTGAACCTGGCAACAAGGACTTACAAGGCAAGTTATGCCCTGGAGGTCACATACATCCAGATGATACCAGACAACATAGTTCATCATATCCAAAACTGCATGGACAAACAGAGGATGATTTTTTGTGCTAAATTTGTATATATGGTTTTAAATTCCTTTTTAAACTTAATGATGTAATAATGTAAAGATTCATAAATTCTGTGAGGCAAGTTTGTGACTTGCCTTCGCATCTGTTACAGAAGATAGTTATGTAGCTTTGTAACATTCCTCAGTGCCTGTCCATAACTGTGAAGTATCAAAGCACTTAGGGCCAGATGCACTGTAAACACTGCAGGTTTAACATAAAGAAGTCTTTAAATAATTTTGAGTTGTAGGTTTTAGAGTAGAGCTGACATTTAACATATATATTTTTTGTAAGATGAGCCAGAATTCTTTTTGACAATTCCAGGCTTTTCCATAGAGCTTATTTATACCAATTTTTTCATTTTAAATGTGTCAGCACTGTAGTGTAAATATCTTTTTTAAAAAAATCTTTTTAGTGTGATTTATACTGAAATGTGAGCCGCTTAATAAAGGTTCATAATAACAGATTGGTTTTATTTTTGGGTCTGCAAAAAATAATTCAGTTAAACTGCCTCTCTAAATGGTTATGTTTCTACCTGCACTAATGCATAGGATACCCTTACACCATTGTGGGGTGAGCAGCTGTAGCAAACTGAGGTAGAGCTGAGGCATTCTTTGTAAATGGAGATTAGTCAGAATGTAAAATCAGTCCTCCCTTCACAGGATTCCTTACAGTTGCTCGTTAAAGGCACTCCGCAGACTCCTGCTGTCAGATGTTAATATGGAACAGAGAGGCAAACCTGCCCCTGTTGTGGAGGACAGTCGGACACCCCCTGGGCTCCAGGAGCGCAATCAGTAACTGTGTGCGTCTCTCTAGATGAGCTGGTGCAAGGGAGCAAACTCCCTTCTACCTTTGCCTCTTGCTTTGCTCAAGCCACAGTTAAGGCAGTTCTATTTCACGTTAAAAAAAACCAAACAACCACCCCCCCACCCCCCCACCCCAATTTAAGTCAGTTAATCTGACTAAAATTAAAACAAAGAATATTTAAATGGTAACTTATCCACCTATAAAGGCCTCCACTTTAGTAGTGACCTGTAATTGACAGAGACACGTTTGGATTTGAATTGCTCCCTATGCTGATAGCACCAGGCAGTAAAGATGCTTGCCAGTGTGTCTAGTAGGAAGATTCCTCATGAGTCCCAGTTTGGAAGCAAGAGTTAGTTAATTAAGAAAATAACAGTGGTGTCCAAGTTAACTGTTTGCCTCTCTCCCCGCCTATGGAATGCTTGAATTCTCTTAAGCCATGTTCTGAGGGAAGAGGATTTCAAGGCTAGCTAGCATCTGATGTGGTAATGGCAAAAACTGTCACTGAACCTACTTAATTCTTTGTGTAACATATTACTGTATAGTTCAAACACATCTGAATGATATTTCTTTTTCAGGTAGCTACAAATAGCAGTAAACTGCCCTACAGCCTGTCCTCCAACTAAGTATTTAAAACGTAAGATCCTGGGCCTGTTGTTATTTCCAAAGCCCTCTGTATCTTTTTTTTCCCCTCTGTATTTTTTCCCTATAACTTTCTGAAATTTGTACGTCCTTATGTACCTACTTTATAACCTTTGCACTTAGTGATCACTTTGGCTTCATTTGTAGCAACAGAACAATGTGATTTCCAGGTGATGTCTAATTCAACTACCTGAGGCCCTTTTGTTGCAAATGTTTTTTGCTTATAGGTTGTTAAAATTGAAAATGTTACTACGTACTTACTCTGGCACTAAAATCAGCCATTTAACGGATGAGTGCCCTGATTTCTTTAAGTCTAAAATAGGTCTGTCAAAGAATTATTAATTAAATCAATATTTGAATTATTGAATATTACTCCTACATAGCCATAATTACGTATTAGAGAAGCAATAGAAACATGAATCTCTTGGATGTGGCTAATATATCCTTAAGTCTTACTGCTGTTTTCTTTAATGCTGGCTAAGAGATTACTACCAGTTTTGCAGCCTCAGGGATCTTGCTTTCCCCTCATGCCATGAGCAAATGATTCATGTGTGACATGGTAAGTTATTAATCTAGCAGATTCTGATTTGAGAAATTAATTGGTTCATGTAAGAGTTTGAGCTTTCCTGATAGTAGAAATGTGGTCTTGGCTCCCGTTGTGTTTTCTGGATTATCTGGAAACTTCTACCCGTAATTCTTTGGCTTTATGAACATCTGTACACAATTATGTAGCCTTCCATTCCTGTTCTCTGTGCCAGCCATTGGAGAACAGTAAAAGAGAAGAGCTGCCGGTTGTAGTTTGCACCAAGTGTGCAGCTTTCCACCTGGGTTAGCAGAAGGCTCCAGCTTTATCAATACCATCCTTGCCAGATACTGCTCTTTTAAAACAAAAACACCCCCCCCAACAACAACAAAAAAACCCAAACCATAAAACAACCCAACTGTTTAGTTTAATTAAAAAAAAAAAACCAAACCTTGTTTGTATGCTGGTGATCCATATGCTGATCATTCATTCTGGTTCAAGTTTGTTTGGGGTTTTTTTTCTTAAATCTGCCAGATTTTACTAAAGTAAACCCTTGACAGCAAGCAACTTCCTGCATCATAGGCCCTGTCCAGACTGAAAAAATAAATGTTTGAAAATGGTTTAGCAAACAGACTTTACACTGAAGAGTAAAGCTTTGCTTCCTTTTGAAGACCTGCTCAGCGGTCTTAGCTGATCATGGCCTCAAACTTCTGCTCAGGTTATGTCTTGGTTCTGAAATTTTTCCTTTGAACTGCCTACATCTTCAACCTATTTTTTTTTTCTTTTTTTTAATCACTTTCAGAATTTTAAGAGATTAAAAAAAAGTGGCAGTTTTTCCACTTTTTATGCATCCTTTATTTTTGAATTGTGAGGCAGACTAGATTCTCATTTTTAGACAGAATTCCTTGCAGACAGAATATAAACAATACCGGGATTACCAATGGCTATCAGAACTCCCTTTGTATTCAAAGGTGTAGACAGTCTGGGTTGACTGGCTATATTAGTGTGTACTTCTTTCTTTGCTTCTTTTTAAAAAAAAAAAAAAAGTTTTTGTCCTCTACTGTGGTGTATTCATTTTGATGCAGTTGCTCTTTAAGAGGGGAGTACCTTTTCTGAGAATTTCAGCTCCCAAATTGTTCATTAGTCTGACAAAGGTCTTGCTTTGGTTTCACGTGGTCCTATGCTATAACCTTTATTCCTACCGCATACAAATTCATATTCAGACTTTGCTTCAGCAATAAATGGTTCACGCCTTCTGATGTACTGAAACTAGTCTTTGCTTATTGCTTGTCCCCCCTCCCCGGATTTCAGTTATATAGAAATCTTTCTGTTATTTTGGCTGAAATCTCCAGTTTAGTTTTAGTTGTCTCTCTTGGCCCTTCCGCAGATTTCTGCAAAATCTGCTTAAGGCCTATTGCCTGTACTGCAATGGTATTGACATCTGTGTGTTTGCAGTGGTGTTCCAGTTAATGACATGATGTGCAGAAGTTTAGACATGTTCTCCTAGATACTGGTTCCATATTTGTGGGTAGCAAAGAATTGCATTGTTACTGCTGCTACCTAATAGCTTTCAAGATGGTAGCTGTTTTTTTTTAATTACTGGATCTTTTGCATTTCACTAGCAACTGACTTCATGTGTTACATACAAGTGTTACTCAGTGTTGTGTCATCCCCCAGCCCTCCAAATGCCTGCAAATTGACTCTTGAAACAGCATTTTCATTACAGGTACTGCTGGCATGCAGATTTTCCCTTCCTTGTTACTATAGTGAATATTTCAATACTTCTTTAACTGAAATATTAATTCTATCTAGTATTAGAAATAAAGTATTATTTCAGAGGGTGATGATTTAAGTATTCATCTGTGAAATAATTCCTTGGTGATAAATAAAATTGATTTTTAAGCAGATATACATGTGCACAGTAAATAAGTTGGCATTGCAAATGATGTAGAAAATGGAAACATAAGACAGTGGAATGCTGTGAAGCAGATCTGAACATTACAGATCTGGAAAATTGAGTAAGTCTTCCAAGAAACACAGGACTGGTATTCATTGATCAAAATGACTGTTTTCTAATATCTGCATGTGAATAAGGATGCTGAATCGATTGAAATAAATCCGTGTTTTCTCCATGCTCCTTGGCAAATAAACTGTTGTGAGAGAGTAGGCTACCACCTGACCCTACTAGGATGAAAACTGTACTAATTCTGATGAAGAGATGAAAAAAAAACTTTGCAGGCTTCTCAAGTGTAATTTTATTCATTTTTTTCTAGTGGTCAGATGTGTGGAGAACTTTGTCTTTAGGCAGACCACTGCCTGTTACCTTACTGTGAATGTAAACAAGTTGGAAATGGAAAGGACAGATTTTCACTGACCTATGCTTTGCTGTGAATGACACTGTTGAGAATGTTTTCTTTGTGAGTCACTGTGTTCAACTGATATTTTATTACTTTCTCAAACGGATGAAATGCACTTTAAAAACTGTATAATAGACGATACTGATATTTTGTGCAGATCCCACTGAATTTGCAGCATACATGGGAAGATTTGGGAAACTTTGATTCCCATCAGTCGCTCATTTCATTTTTCATAGAAATGCGAATTATTTTGTGTTCTGTTCAGAAGCAGCAGCTTCACAATATCTAGGTTGCTATTTCTATTAGAATCATCAGGGATACTGACTTTGCAGATTTAGTGTATTATATTCTAGCCACTGTTTTTCTCTGTGCTATGATGCTAATATTTCCTCTGCTTTGGAGCCGTGCTGTACTTGAGTGCCAGCTAGACATTGATCTTCTCATGTTCTGGTCATGCTGATAGATGAGCCTACTGATGAGGGTATTAGTCCTTTAATATTTGGTGTACAGTTATGATAATCTGATACAAACATTGATTAAAACAGCAGTTTAAACTTCTATTTTTATCAAGTTTGATTTTTCAATAACTATTTTGATACTATGTTTTCTCTTGCCAATTAATTTCCAGTCCACCAGAATGAAAGGGCAATGTTTGGTAGAGCTTAGGCCTGTGTTTTAAGGACTATGCTTTCTATGGCCGTTGTTTTATCTGGTTATATTGAGACAAAATAGGGCAATTAGCTGAGAAAGTTATTCCCTAAGTATCTCAAGAAGAAAACCTTGAGAATTAGACCTGTGTGTGTAAGACTAATGTAACATAAGTCAAGACTGCTAAAGCTGTATCCTAGGCATGTTGTAACACTCAGGTACTTGTCTAATCGATGCAGTTGAGAGCTTTTGTTAATCTCGGAAATGAAATTTTTAGACTAAACCCCATCTTTTAGGAGTGATTTCTTTATAAACTTCAAAAGGAACACTGTGATAAAACCTAATACCGGTAAACTAAGCTTGGGTTCTCATTTCTTCTGTTTCTTGCTCTTACGCTCTTGTTCTGTGCCGTACAAAGACTTACATTTGCCTGCTTGTGAGGTTGGTTTTGTTAGAAGAGGCACACCAAAGGAAATAGCATTACTGCATTGCAGATTTTTTTTCTACTCTTTATCCAACTTCAGTACAAGGAGAAAATGTTAATACTGAATAGCACTCTGGTGGTCCAACTGCAGTGGTTCCTTAAATTGCCTTAGTCCACAAACCCTGATGCTTTTCAGCGGCAAGTTGATACCCAGGCCTGTTCAGGTCTAAAAGGCTTATATGGGAGGCAAACTCTGCCCAAACCTTAACACAATAAAGGTACAGTAAAAAGGTACAAACACTCTTTTTCCAACTCAGTGCAGTTATTTTTACCTCAATCTTAGTTTAAAAAAAAAAAAGTGTGAAAGCATAGCACTATCATGTAACACATCAAAGAACTTCTGAGGATGCAGTTATTCAGGAGCTTTATTACTGAAAAGCAATATTATTTGTTCCCAAAATATAGTGGTGTTGAAATAGGTAATGCCTAATGTTAGAATTCAGAGTTTCTGGGGGTCTCATAGATTTCACTGTCATCAATACCTTTGTGTCACTCAACTTTCAAACTGGGTAAATATGAAAATTTCCATGAGGTTACTTGTAAGATTTTGTTCCTGTACTACTATGCATATACATCAGAAAACACCACTGCTTTCATCTCTTAAATTGTTGTGTAACTTAGTCCTGTGCTAGCTTATTTTTTGATATTGTCACCCATGCCTTGCATTGCAGTTTGGGGGCACCTACACACCACCTTAGAGCATTCAGGTTAAAGTTTGTTGAAGGTTGGGATGTTTATGTCATATAATTGTATTTTTCAAGTATGAGAAGAACAGAAGGCTGGATCCTAGTCTAAAATGGTGACAAATCAAGAAAAGCAGTATGAATAGGTGATTGAAAATTTCAGTTTCATGATCTTTCACACATGTCCATTGAGTATTTTCCTTAATCAGACAACAGTAGATACTCACCTACAATGCATGCTGAAGTGTTCAAGCTTGTATAAATGATATGAAGAGAAATAAACGTAGAATATATATCTCCATATACAATATATATAATCAATATATATTATGTATATAATACATATATATCATCAATATATGATAAATACTTCCGTTTCATTTCAGAACAGCAAGCTATTGAATTGCATTTTAAAACAAAGCCCATGAAGGCAAAGTTTTCCTCTCCATGCCCTGCATCGGCTGCTGCAGGTAGCTGAGATGAGGTTGTTCCCTAGTGCGCTGGGTACTTTGATCTGCATTTCCTTCCACCCATTTCTTGCACATCAGTATGAGCCATCTCAGCATCAGCTTCCCCTTTTCCCTGCCAACTTCATCAAATCTGCTCTTTGCTCATTTTGTTCTGTTTAACGAAGATCAGTCAGTCCATGAATTTAAGTAAAGGTGTGAGAACTCTCTCCATTTCAGAGCTGTGGACAGTGCCTTTGAGAACAGGGTGATTGCTAATAGAGGTAATTCCTGCAACAGCCTCTGGAAAGGTCTAGGTGTGCTACGGTGTGCTTTGTATCCTAAGTCCTTTTGAATGAAGTTCTGATATCACAAAAACATGAGACTGCGTGTACAGAGGTGTTGGCACAGTTTAGGTCAGTTAAATCTGATAAAAAATACTAAGTCAAACGGGATATTAATTTCTGTTACCAAAGTATTGCTGTATGACTAGGAACTTGCAGACAAAGTTGAGCACTTTCACAGGGCTGTGTCCTGAAGACAGCTTGTGCTAAAGGAAATCAGTTTGTGTGTGACTTCTGTAGGACACCAGAAAGAGATGCCTGCTTCAGCTTTCAAAATCACTGTCATGTATTTCAAGGTTTGTAAATGTTTAAAAAAAAAAAAAAGCCAAACCCACAACCAAAAGACTGAAATTGCTGATCTTTTTCTATTGAATTAGAGGCAGCAATTAAAAGGAGATTTGGAACAACTGTGTTTGGCATCTCTAATTAACTAGAATCAAACTTTCAGATAATTGTTACATCTGTGGAATAGAAGGGGTTTATTAAGGGGGCAGAGTTGCCATTTGTGGCCCATCTTGCTAATCATATACCAAGCCCTAATGAGGCTAGTTCTTATTCTTCCACCATTTGTTGTGTGAAGCTGTCACGATCTGTTAACATCATCAGCTTGACTGAGGAAAGCTGCTCTGCTCTTCTGAGCAGTATGGGTTTTTTTGGCATTGTGTGAACAAGGCTTTTTTTGCTTTTTCTTCTGTGATAATCATCAGCTGGGGGAGGACTGGGCACTCAGTTTTATGCTTGGTGCTGTAATGTACCATCCGGAGATGCGTGTGTGTGTGTGTATGTATGTATGTGTCTTAAGTGCTTAAATGCTTGTTATGTATTTGCATCAATGTTGAAGTGGTTCATAGAAGTTTACCTTAACTGGAGGTAGGTCTTTAAACACTCTTCTCCATATATCTTTGAAGCATCCAGTAAAAATGCCACATGAGGTCTAGCTTGCCTGCCATGGGCCATACCTGGAATGTTGTATCCTAGGAAGCTCAGTGACCCTAGTTTCCATTTGACAGAACTGAAGAACTGCTGAAGAGACCTAACTTGGATGTGCAAATTAAGCATATTTTCTCTATACCATATGTATACACACATACATATACTTACATTTAGCATGTATCTGTGCGTGCTTGCTCTCGCATTTCCTATATTCAGCAGGCCCAAGAGCACATATCAAGGTGAATACTTTTCCCTCTCCCTGCAGCTAATCCTCAGCACAAGTGCCATTTTAACTTGAAAAATCACAAAGATGGTAAAGGAAGCTAGTTCTTCACAGGAGCCTCATATGAGTGGGCAAAAAGTCTGTCAAACAGAGAGCAAGGCCCTTCCATGAACTATTTCTCAGAACTAAGTAGGGCATAGATACACCTCCACAAAAGAACTGTTCCTCATAGGTACTGAAGCAAAAAGAGATTTCTAAATGGTAGTTTTAGCTCCCCATAAATTATCTAATGCTTATGAACTGGGGCCAAGTGCCCCCTGGATTTGCTCAGTAAAAGTCAATGCATTATTTTTACTATAATAAAGGGGTTATAAATATTTTGCATTTTTTATAACAGCTAATGCTTAGATTGTTTTTCTGTGTCATTCCTTGGTTTCTCCTTTAGCAAGGTAGGACTGTCAACCATTCTGAAGCAAACATGACTTAAATTCTTTCTAAAGATCATTTGTTACCTGATGATCTGAATTGAGAGCCATTGTCTTAGAATGAACAGGTTCTTTTCTTAGATAAGCCCTTTCAGCAGTCTTTAACAATATGCTTCCTATGTGTTTATGCCTACATCTGTCTGTTTGAACAGCAAGAGTAAACCCAAACACTTCAGAAAGATGATTTTTTTTTTTACTGACAAGTACAGTTGATTGTACATCATTAAAATTTTATTCGTGAGACATTTTGACATAGTTACCTCCTCTGACCTTAAACTGTTTTTCCAGGGCTGTTTTCATTCACTAGACACTCTTTTTTACCTAGGAACTGTAAATAGTTCAGCATGCATGTTAATAATGTCCTAGACAACTTTTACATTTGGACTTGGTTGTATCGTAGCTCCTGGAAGAGCACTTTCAGTCCACAAAATACGCTTACAGTTCCAGCTCTTCCCAGAAGTCCCATTCATTGCATTTGTTACTTGAAAAAGTTCATTTACTAGCATCTCAGTTGGCTGGTACTCGGTAAAGCCAGGGCTTCACCCCCAGAGATTTAATATACTAGGGCATTAAAAAAAATCTTCCTTGTTAAAGTACCACTTCCTCCAGGTACAGATGTATTACAGAACTCACCCCATAGCTTCAGTCTTTTACAGCACTGGTCATTTCTCACTTGGAAGGGTAATCACCATTGTCTCCCTCTTCTCTGGATCTTGGACTGCTGGCACAGTTCAGCTACTAACTTCTTTCCCCCTAGGTAAACATACTGGTTATTGTCTGTTTCAGCAGCTTAAAAAAAAAAAGTGCTTATTTTTAGTCTTTCAGACTGGAAGTGGATTCTTGCTGTCACAAAATGCTGAGTCACTTTATTCCTTTTTTGCTCTTATTTGGTAACTATCAATTGTTCCTGATTCTTAAAGCAAGTTTACAGTAATTTCTATAATGTGCTAACTTGTTATTTCTTGAGTGACACGATAAGTAGTAGATAACTTAAGTCCTCTTTCTAAGGATTACCCAATGTGCTGAATACTCTGGGGTAGAATATTTGTGGTTCCTTTCAGATCTTCTACCTGCACATGAAGAGCCTGTATCTTACTTCATGTAACAAATAATAATAATCATATTAGAACAGCTTGTGTTGAACAAATACTTTTATTTACAAGAACATATGTGACAGTTTTAAAATAAAAGAGTGGAACAAGTCTACTTTCAGTCTTCAGCCTGGTATTAGATAGAGTCTCCACCTTGATTGATTTCTTATTTGGCATTTTAATTTGGAGAACAAGTTTGTGGCAAAACTATAATAATCCAGTAATTTGGTACCAATCTCAGTGCTGAAAGCCACATATGATAGCTTAGTCTCTTCGTACATAGAAGATATTATATCCCAGTTCAACCATACCCCCAATAAGCAAGGCCCACAAAGGGATAAATACATAGGCTAGTTTCATCGTAGTAAATCGTTGCAGTTTAGCACAGAGGGCAAGGCAGAAGGCTAATTTAAGTAGCATTGCAATGAGATACCAGGCTTTTTTCTTGATGTTTTGGGAGCCGTTGCGAGGGTCGAAGCCAGACTTGCAACGTCCAGCCATTTTCACAATTAGCATAACTAGAAGGATAGTATCAAATATCCAGACTGGAATAAAAATGAGGAACCAGTTCCACGGTGCTTTCTCATCCAACTTCAGCACCAGCATGATCAGGAAGAGTAATGTAAAAAGCCATGTCAGTAGTACTCTTTGCGCCAGGGACATTCTCATTTAAACAGCTTTGAGAGGAAGTCTTTCACTGTCAGCAACAACCTAACAAAACAAAAGCGGGGGGGGGAAGGCATCAAAAGATGTCACTACACAACCATTAGGCATATTCCTTAAAGGTGACTAATTTCTTGTTCTTGCTTTCTCACCCGTTCTATCCTCACCTACATACTGCTTCATTGCATTTCTTTTATAACCACCATTCTCAATGAAGCACTCTGTTTTGGTCCTGTCCACCATTAAATTTAGGTGCCTTAAGTCAGCTGTGTAAACTGCTTTAATCTAAACTTGTTCTGTGAAACAAATTATGCTTTAATCCTACAGTAGCTGTCAAACTCATTTAGGGATTTTTATATGTTAGGAATAGGTTTAGATCCATTTTCCTCCAGTACTGAGGCACTCATAGTTCAACACTTGAAACTCAACCTAACAATTCCCTCCTTATAACAAAAGAACCAGTAAAATGTAAACTAACCAACAAGCATGAGTAACAAGCCACCTGAAAGATCCTGTTGCCTGCAGAACTGCAGCTGAAACCACACCAGTAAGCCCTACTACCAGTTTCTGTCAAGCAGCATCTTAAAACTACAAAAAGCTACAGATAATATTTGCTTTCTGGCAGGTATCTAAAGTACAGACACTGGCTGACAGGAACACTATTTAGTTTTATTGGCTTGGTAGTATATTTAAATTTCTATGTAGTCATGGCAAAAGAAAAAACAAGGACAAGTGCATCTGACACTACAGTCATAAAAGTTAGTTTTTATACTCCTAACTGAAAGGCTTTTACCACTGCACCTGCCAGAAGCTTTTCACTGCAAGTATAAAAAGCAGGGGTGAGAAGAACTATGATCTTCCTCAAGTTTTCATGCTACAAAGATGGATAATTAATGTATACACCAGTGGAAACAGTGCTGAATAGGTTTCTTAATTATTTTAAAAATTTGAGATTTTTAGAAATTTGATAATTCCCTTTAGAACACCGATATTCTTTCACTTGAAATAAATAAGTGAGCTTTGATTTGTTCCAGATTACAGAAGTACTTAAATTACCGAAGGTGAGATGATGTGTTCTGAAGCACCTAATCCTCACCACCAGAAGGGAAAGACAAGACCTGCTTCCCCTCTTCCCCCTCAGTCCACCTGGCCACAAGCTGTTACTGCTTCCTCTGTTATTACTGATGCTCACACTATCACCCAATTAAGCCTATTAACCTCACTGAACAAGCAGAAGTCTATTAGCACCTTTTTAACTGAGTTAGTTTTTTGCTAGATTAGCAAGTTGAACCAACTCTGTGCTCAGATAAGTATTGGAACCAGAAGGAAGGAGGTAAAAGCTGCTGGCTTAACTGGTTAGGAGATGACCAGCTACATTAGAGCTAGTGAATAACAATTTTGTACACCACTAAAATTATCCTACAATTTAAATCTGTGTCTGCTGATACACAGTTCAACAGACCTAATTTTTGTTCAGTCTGGGTTTGAAATTTCACTGGATTTGATTTAGTGGATAGTAGTGGGACTTCTCTTAAGGAAAAGATCCAGTTTAGCCAAAAATAATCTAAATTGGAATTACTGTCAGTGCATCCCCTCCCTTGTGTTATGGCTGACACTTGTGTGACCCAGAGCAGGCCAGTTCCTTGAGCTGAACTAGCAAAAAAATAGTTTAAAATAAGATTTTTGTAGTTTGTTTTTTGCTGTCTCAGTTCTGCTCAGATCACTGAAGAGTCTGGTGAATGCCAGTTACTGGCAGGGTGGGACCGAGACCCCCTCCTTAGGGAAGGGGTGAGGCTTAGCAGTGACACTCAACATAAGAGTTAGTTAATTGCTAAGCAAGTAGACAAAAAATTGGAGGAGGTTTAGATAGCACTCCTCTTTTCTTGTAAACATACCTAAACCAGCTGGCAGGTGCAGAGGATTACAGGACAATTACTATGACCTGCCTGAAGTATTTCCAGTCTTTTGAAAACATTCCCAATATTCTCAAGTGCAAGTCTGTGGCTAAAGTGAAGAGAGTAGTGATCTGAAACAAAGTTTCGACATTCCTTTCATGAGAACCTTTTTGAAAACTAGTTCTAGAAATCAATGCTACAGATACTACAAGAAGGAGAATCTCTCATTAGCAACCCGGAGAAAGTGGAAACCAAAGGAACAGACTGGAAACTTGGGCCTGAAAGGACAAAAGGAATTCAACACTGTTAGAAGTATCAGGTTATCAGATACTCAGAGAAGGTGCTATCAACTGTCTCTGGAGGAAATAGAAAGCACCTGAAGTTGTATTAGATGGGGCTACTCAATTTGAAGGTTGCTCACCTGATGAAAAGATTTTTCAGTTTTCCTAAGTGTTCAGAACCCTTTGTAACAATTTAAAAAGCACAGGCAGAAGAGTCAGCATGGGGCGTTATGCTGCCTTTCTTCAATCTAATTAAGAGATGTAACTGCAAGATTGGACAGTACTGCAAGGCTCCATTCAATTTTAGAGGCTTTTTTTGATGAAAACTGTAGAAAATCCAAGCGTACTTTTGAGATCTTATCCTATAGTCCAAGTAAAGGAAGCTACCAAATTTGCAAGACTGACAGCTGGGGATACACAGCTGACATAATGAGGAAGGGTTTGATTACATGGAGCACCTAACCATCTCTCATTAGGAAAGAAAGGAGATGATCAGCAGATTCTTAGCTAGAGGACAGCTATCACAGCAAGATGGTTAACACTGGAAAAAGGATGCGGATATGGTGCAAGTCTGTTTTCACAGAAGAGCTAGTTCACCGAAGGAATGCCAAATGTGGGGTGTAAAAATAAAAAAGCTCTCGACTCTTTATAGGACTCATGTAATTAGTAGGAAGTGAAAATTTTCAGTAGTGAGAAACACTATCTCAGTAGCATTGCTGACCTTGGTGGGATGATCTACATAATTAGAATATTATGATAGCTAATTATATCCTGTTTAGATGGAGAAAAATCAAGAGGAGAGAAACTTACACGTTCAGCTAAATATTAGCGATAACATAGGTCTATAAATTTGAACCCTGAACATTGCCTAACAAAGTTCAGAAAATTGTAATACACTGAAACCAAATTAAATAGAACTCCAGCTTGATTAAATGCCATTTTAAAGCCGATTCAGTAGGTATGAGTACTTTAACACCGAGAAAGAAACGTCCCAGTAGCCCCATTTCAAAACCACACGTGAACTAGTCTGATGCGAACACGGGTTAGGTATTCGCAAGTCCTCTTGCAACTGGTGCATTCTTAGTTGAGGTAGCCTATGTAGATTTAAAAGTGCAAATAACGTCAAACTACACCACCCCCTTAACCGGAGTGCTTGTTTTACTGTTTTTTTCTGCGGAACAGGGACTCCCGAGTGCTGAATCTGGCTGACCCCCGCCCCCGTTCATAAATTATGCAGAGGACCAGAAGGAGGAAACCGGCAAGCCGGCCGAGGGTGCGGGGCTAAGCCGAGCCTGCGGCGGCAGTTTAACAGCCCCTCCCTCGCGGTGCTCCGGAGAAGACCGACTGTTTCCAGCACAGGCCCGACCCAGCCTTGCCCGGGCACGGTCGCTACCCTCCACCGCGGGTCGCCTA